GGGAAATACCTTTTTTAATAACCGGCATTATACACCTCTTAAGATGTTTTGAACGTATTTAAAATTAGAAAAAATAATATTTCATGAACATCTGATTGAATTACATTATTGCTAGCCTATTGTAAGGTACTAATTTAAAAAAAAAAAAAAACTTTACTAATTTATCACCGGCACTACTTGCCTCTTAAGATGTTTTGAATACAACATTCATGATTTTTGTTATTTTTTTATTATATTTTTCTTTCCCTTTCACGTGGGCATGATCAACTTTCACTCATCCTTCCATTTTTTATTTTTTTTCTCTCTTCCCATTTTTTTTGGTTGAGGGGCAATTTTATCCTAATATTTTTATCAAAGTTGTGACCCCAAATTAGGGCTCTAGCTTTATATATAAAAGATAAAAGTTTACAAATTTGATGTGTAGAAAACGTTTTAAAGGAAGTTAAAGGTGCAGGACCAACCTACTACTTTTCTTCCACTACTCTGACGATGTGTTTACCAATCGGGAGTGGAATGGAGAGAAATGAAATTGAATTCCTCCCCAAGCATTCTGCCGTTTACTAGCAATTGGGGAATCATATTTTATGTGGGGTCCAGCCAATTTCAGGAGTTCAATTCCGGATTTCTCCAAACTTGGATTCCCTCCGTAAAGGTGGTAATTGAATTCCGGGTAGAGGGCTCCACCACGAATCAAAGTTTTCTACGCAAAATACCCATGTATATTCCTCAAACAACTCCTACCTTCATCAATCACTCCCCTCTGTATTTATTTCTCTCACAGCACATACCATCCCACCTTCGCAATCTGAAATGATGCCTTAGCACTGAACGACGAATGCCTACGATTTGGAACAATGATCGCCCGGGGTTTAAAACGACGCCACAATGATGAACATGATATGGAACAACGAACGCCCAAATCCTCAAGGAAATTGCGATTTGCATACCCAAACAGAAGAGAAGGAAATAACTTTTATCACTTTCACCTTTAAAATTGGAATTTTTTTTTGGTTGATGGGGTGGGTTGTGGTTCATCCTGAGATTGGATGGTGGGGTGTGGATATTGCATACTGGGGAAAGAAAAGGGAAAGAAAGGGGTTGTAGACAAAGAAGATTGGGGAAAGAAAGGGGGAAGTGAGAGAAGGAAGTAAAATTATATTTTAGTTTACTTTATGTAGGTATTTCTAATAGGGTTTAGGGTGATTAAGAGTTAGAAGCAAATAAAAAATGATTCTTTCATATCAAATTTGAAGTAATCTATGCGATTAGGAAAATTTAAAAGTTTTATAAAAGATAAAAAAATTCTTCTCTCTAGTAAAAAATTAAAAAAAAAAAGAATACAAGTTTTACTAAAAATAATTAGCATATAAAATAAGGAAAACTAATGAAAAGGGCTTGAAAACTTTGAGTTTTAATGATAAGGACAAAATAAAGGGTAAAGTGAATAGTACTAGGATTGACTTTTTAGTGTAAAAATGTGGTTTTTCGTTAAAGTGAACAGTACCGGGTGTTTTTCGTTAAAGTTCCCTATAAAATAAGGGGTGTGATATCCACACACCCCATTTTACTTCTCAGACACCTTTTTAATTTTCGGCCGTCGTATCGGATGAATTGAAGAAGATCAACGGACAGACATTATTAAGGGGTGTGTGAGAAGTAAAATGGGGTGTGTGGATAGCACACCCCTAAAATAAATTAGTTAAAATAGGGGTACTTTAGTAATCACATTAGTTATCATTCCGATTCATGTGAATTAGTAAACAGTTTATATACATCAATGTCATTCCTACTCCGATTCCACACAGTTTTGGTAAACAACTTCAACATGAATCTAATTCTGATTCCACCTCATTCCAATTCCTCCTCAATCAAATTTCTCATCAATTCAATTCATCTTAATCTGATTACCGATTAGTAAACACGCCCTGAATTGAAAGATATTGCAAACAATTGTTTATTCTTGCATCAAGTAATGGATGTATATGCATGCAGCATGCTCTAAATTTAGGTGTTAACCTAACATATATTAATACAAAAATGTTATTTTTACTATCTATTTGTACCACCTCCCTAATAGAGATAAGGTCCACATGTGTTGGTGGGCTCTACTTCTATTAGAGAGATGATACAAATAGATGATAAATGTAGCACTACTTATATTAATGTGTTTTTATCATTTTATAATTTCAACGGAATCAACTAATTATTGATTTAGTGATATATTTTAAAAGAGGTTCCAACTTCCAATACCCCAACCTACTCAGGAAAGGAAACAAAAACTTCTATGAGAAGCTGGCAAACATTATGATGACCGTATATATCTCTTTCTCATTTTATTTGCTAATACCCTCGTTTAGAGTTTTATTTCTTGGAAAATTTTATTTGAACCCATCTAACATCTTTCTACATCCAACTTATTTTCTACACCTATATTATTTTTAACTAAAGAATTAATATTTCTTTAAATCCAAATTTATTACCTAAAGTATCCTATCAAACCCAATTAAAAAGTATATTTATCTTTACACCCATTATAAAATAAAATCTCAAATAAACTCGAAAGTAAAAAACTTCTGAGTCCTTTGTCTCCCCTTTGAGCTCTTTAGAAACTGAGCTTTTTGTTTTTCAAATGTCTTCCTGCATTTTTTTGCTTCACTGCATCTTACTTGATTTTTTGGTAAAGTTTCTAATTTCTACTGGAGCTGCTTACAACATTATAGCATTTTTCATGGTCGCTGTTTTTGATTTATTTGTGTTTCGGTGTTTGTGTGTTTGTTTTTCTACTGCAATTATTTAATTTTATTTGATGAAAGAAATTCATTAAACCTGCACTCGCTAACATGCACTATCCCAAGCAATTTATTACAAGGATAACAAATGTCAATCAGAACGACAACAAATTGTAATATGAAGTTGAAGTGAAGAGTTTCGTATAGGAGGACAGACTAGCATGGCAACAACTATCGCTTTCTGATATGCCAAAGCCAAACAAATTACAAATACTTTCACTTTCCATATAAAAGGTCTTATATATCAATACTTTCACTACGACTATTGTAGAAAGTTTAACAAACTATGTGCAGCCTCGTTGATGAAAAAAGAATTGAAACCCAAATATTCATCTTCTACGTTCTAAAAAAAATTGAAATCTGACGAGCAAAAATTTCCATAAATCAAGTCATACCTTTGTTGGAGAATTTAAAACTTAAAAATCACCATCCATCGATAAAAAAAAACTTGTTTTCTCCTTAAAAGCTATTAGGGTTTCAGTCAAAATGAACACATGATAAACAATGAGTGATGGTAAGATTTAATTATAGTGTGGGTTTATTGATAAATTTTAATTTTATTATAAATTTCATTTTGTATTTGATGGTAATTATGCAATAGGGTAAAAATGATCATTTACATTTAAAATCTAAGTTTGATGTAAAAAGATGTTACATGGATTTAAATAAAATTTTCCTTATTTCTTTTATTAAAAAATTGCTTCACTTTACAGTTACGTAATAAAAAATGTTTACCCACAATAGTTTTTAAATAAGAGCAAAGCGAACATTAGTTTTTTTTATTTAAATGATATCGCTTGCGACTGCTTTTAAAAGTTATATAAACTGTGAAGATATATATAAATTAACCATATTAAATAAGGGAACGATCGGTTAACCTTTAGCTTAATATGATAAAATTTACCCTTGACATCGTGAGCAGACCACATCAGACCTCAGAGGGCCTGGCATATGACTGCCCTACCGATCTAGGGCTTTCGGGCCCACATACAAATCAAGCTGTCCTTCGGGCTCATTATATCCCACTCCTGTAAATGTGTCTTCCCCAGCCCTACTCTTCCCACATAAATTATGTTACATATTTGTATATATAATTAAGGGGTTTTATCACAAACTTTTATGTTTTGGAAAATCATCAGTTTGGTGTTTTATGTTTTAAACTCATTAACTTGGTCCTTCATTATTGCTTTGGTCATCAAACTTGTCCCTACCGTCCACTTTCATTAGAACTTTTGTTACTATCCCGAGGATTATTTTTAGCTACACTCTCTGAAACTCAATTTTGATTTTTTTTTTCTGAAATCGAAAAGTCGTAGTTTATTCCTTGAAACTTAATTTTGCTTCACATTGCCCTTATCTGATAATTTCGTCTAAAAAACTGTCAAATATGCTAACGTAGATTGAAAAAAAAAAACTAATGAAAATTATTTAAAAACTTTGAGTTTAACAATAAGAACAAAATAAAGAATAAAGTGAATACTATAAGGATTGACTTTTTAGTATAAAAATGTGGTTTTCGTTAAAATGAACAATACCGGGAGTTTTTTATTAAAGTTCTCTTGAAAAAAAAGCATACATGGTAAAGAAAAGGGATGGGCAATTGAGAAGGGAGGAGGTCTCTTCGATAAGAACGTAGCCTCCCTTAGGGTTTTGCATAATTAAAGGTCTTATTAAAAGTTCATGGGTGGGTTTCTTTTGGTTTTGAAAAAGAAATCATTAAAAAATGTTAAATAGTTAATTACTTAGTTGTCTTGGACACGTGGCATCGGCATATTAGGTGGTGGGTGTTACACATAAGCCACATAAGCAAATTAAATGGATGTTTAATGAATTTAATGGAAACATGCCAAAATGAAGTGAAATTTGAGTTTCAAAACAAAGTGCTGATGTTAAATCAAAATCGAATTTTAAGGGTCATATCTAAAAATAAATCGTATTATGACATGGCATTATTGTGGGCCCACAAATCATGCCATGTAAATTAAATGAAAGTAATTATTTTTAAAAATGAATAAACTTGATATAAGTCCACGTTTTAAAGTCATTATTAAAAATAATACACTTTATTTGTTATCATCTATATATATATTTATAAGATTATATATATATATATATATATATATATATATATATATATATTATATTATATCTTTATATATAAAGTGAACATCTTAAAATAATGAAACATTCAAAATACTATAAATTTTGCGTACTAAAAAAGACGGATGAGATAAAATTTTCATTGAAGAAAGCATTTCGTGGACATCACTCGGTGTGTTCGATAAGGTTTCTCAAGCTCTCTACAACGCCGGCCTCGGCCAACTGTCTCTAGTTCAAGTGCCAAGTTCAGTCTTAACCCTAATTTTTTCTTTCATTCCTCAATTTTCTCCATCCGAGCAATGAAAAATTGAACTATGTTTTCAGATTATTGATCCCAATTTGTGAAATCGCTTCAAAGTTTGAATTTTATTATGTGTTTTTTGGATTTTAGGCTGCTAGCATACGGGCTATACTTTCAGGGAAGGATTGTTGCAGCTGAAACTGAATCACCACGTTCAGGGATGGATGTTGTTTTGATTAGGGATTCCCCTCATTGGGTTTTCATTTCAGTTCGGATTTACAGTAAATGCAAATCCGGTTCCTAAAGCTCAAAGAGAAGGTCTGCAAAGGTACGTTTACAGCTATATATATTGTGTTCCTTTCGAGTATGTGATTGGGCTTTTGTTCTTCTTCCATTTCAGTCATCCATTTTCCTTTCAATTTTCACGAATAAGAAATTTTAGATGTTAATTTTTTCAATGCACAGGTTCATATGTAATCCCTCCTATCTGTAATGGAAGTTTGTAAGGTTTATGCTTCGGTTTATATCGATGGAAATAAAGTTGTTGCGATGAAGACCTCCCTCACTCTCTGAAGCCCAGAACGGAGTGAAACGGTAATTCTCCGCGCCTTCTCCTTTTCCATTGAAGAGTTTGAATACCTACTTTTCCTACGTTTTTCTCATTGAATTTTCTTTTAAGTGTATTTATTTAAATGGGTTTGACACATTTATCAAACATATGAAATTAGAAAACTAAACTTTGGGACTATGTGGTGTAAGAACTATATCACAGATCAAAGATATGCCAGTAAGTTACCAATACTCCAACAATCGAACTAAATGACAAAACTATAAACACGAATATGAAACCAGTGGAAAACATACCTGCAGAACTTGAACTCGAAGAAGCCATAGCAGCTTCACAACCAAGCAATCTTCTCCCCTTTAGCAAAACTAGAAAACTCTCTGAATAATAGGTATTCAATACAAGATGAGCCGTGTCTTTGCAAGAGCAGTGACTGAGGTTATATACAACATTAATCCAACTCATTCTCCTATTAGAATTAGTGTTGAACTCTAAAGCAAAACCTTTTCACACAATGAGTGTACAAGATCAATTAGTGTAGGATTCGAAACCTTTTCCAGAGGAACACTAAAAGCACTCATAATCCTACAAGAACGAGGATTCAACCAAACACCTTATCAAGACTTTTCCATTCAAGAATTCATCCAATATTATAGCTAATCCTCAAACATGTTTCATACTCATATTCCAACATGTGGCACAATAGCCAGTAGACAAAAGGGAATAGATTGGATTAGTTGGACTCATTTTTTACTGCCACACTGCAAAGATTATCACTCCCCTCCCCAACTTTTTACCGATCTCTGTCCACTTTATCTAATTTTTAAATGCCTTAATCTCTTGAATGCTTCTTCTTTGCTTTTTCGTCCATTTTTGGTTTTTAACACATTTTGTAATTGTGAAACAGGTATTGGATTGATTTTAGCGAGTGGGTTTTTTTGTTAACGTGGATCAGATTCGAACCTTTGTGTCGATCGAAGTCATTGCTGGTGGGTTAGCTGAGGTATGATTGCTAGCTTTCTGTCTTGGTGCAATTCAAAATGTTTTGAGTTGTTATATGGACTTGAGATTTAGTAAGTATTTGCCAAAAGTCATGGGATTTTGGAATATCGATGTCTTGCTTGCTTATTAGCTTACAAATTGCTTATTACCTTAAACCTAAAAATCTAAGAACCAAGGTAGTCCTTTGTTCACTGCCTCACTGCATACAATGTGTTGATGATTTACATAACAGAGTCATGTGAGAGGATCTGTACGTGCAACCTCATTGGTTAGGCAGGCCTTGGTGTTTGCTGTTTTGGGCAATGTTTAATCCATTGTCAATGGTGCACTACTTTGTGATACCATGGATGAGCAAGAAAGTAAATACAAGAGTTTGATTGCATAATTACACGGAAAAATAAGTTTATATAATTTTAACTATTCTGAAGTGAATCTTCTACTGGCCAGTTCAATGTTGTCCCAGTTTACATGGGACGATGCAACACTTATATGACACTTTTCTTATCGGTTGTATATGGATCATCGTTGACTTATGGATTAATATGCTAATGTATATGTATACATATGTTTTGATTCCTGTTAAACTTTGTTTGTATTATTTTTGTGTTTGGCATTGACGGTAGCTTTGAAAACATTCATATTTATCCATAGGACCTTGAGGGAGGGTGATCCAATTTTCAGAGAAGAACTAAGTTTTTCTCAGAGAGGACGAATTCTGCAGCTTTTTTATTTCAAAGACGATTCCAGCCCCATTGGTGAATTTCAAATGCCTTAATCTCTTGAATTCTTCCACCTCTTTGGCATGTCAATTGTCATTATTAGCTATTAGATGAAGTACTTGAAATTATGACGTTCATTTTGAACTCAAAATTGAAGAAACACAAACGCATATGTAACTTCTACGCATGTTATATTATGCAACATATACGTGCAAATATATTCTAACCCTTGCACTATGTTGTTGTACGTACAAAAAAAAGAAAAAGAAAAAATAAAAAAGACTAATGTGCTGCTCACTATAGTTTAATTAAATTGATGATACACATTTGAGATAGTATCACTTTCATATGTTAGTTAACTGTTTCAGTAATTTTTTCCCTTATGTGCTCATTTCCTTTGTCAAATAAATTATTGTGTTTATTTATTTATTTTATGTAGGAATACAAAAAGTTTTCAACAGGAGTTCAACATATCAAGTATGGAGAGAAATGATAGGAGCAATATAGCATAGGTTGTCATCTTCTTAAATAAATTGTTCTCAGTGTTAGGATGTCTTTTTCCTCCGTTTGGGGTTTTATCCTACTTGGTACGAACAATGCTTCATTTCTATAAACTATTCTCCCTCAACTTCTGTAAACTTTGAATTGCTCTCTGCATTATGTGACATGATAGTATTTAACACAATATGTTGAAATGAAGGAAAGCTTATTTATTGATATCCCCGATAAGCTACAAATATGTACATATGCATGAGTCAAAATAAACACACAAGAGGGAGCCTTCACAAAGGTTGCTTAGGAGAAGTCTCAGCAGTCGGTAGAGCCCCAGAAAGAGAAGGCACCGGAGGGGGATCATTTGGAGCCTCAGTACTGGACAGAACCCTAGAAGGAGGAGGCATCAGAGGTTGATCATTCGGAGCTTCATTATGCGGTACAGCCCCAGAAGACGAAGGCAATAAATGCCTTTGGAACAAACCCACAAATCTCTGATGATCAAGTAAAACCTGACCATCAGTTTCCTTCATCTGGTCAAGCTTCCTCTTCATGTTTGTAGCATAGTCATGTGCGAGCCGGTGCAACTGTTTATTCTCATGCTTGAGCCCCCTAATCTCCTGTTTGAGACTCATCACTTCAGCCGCCAATGATTCAACTTGGCGGGTTCGAGCAAATAGGCGTTGGGCCATATTAGACACAGAACCTGCACACTGAACACTGAGAGCCAGCGAATCCTTAACAGTTAACTCATCAGACCGTTTGGAAAGTAGTCTGTTATCTTTGGGAGTGAGAAGGTTCCTGGCCACCACCGCAGCGGTCATATCATTCTTCATCACGGAATCCCCAACGGTAAGAGGACCAGTAGGGGAGACGAAGGATGGGCGCCATATGTTTGTCTGGAGAAGGCGGGGCTGCCTCTTCAACAAGGTTCAAGTCAAAACGACGGTCGGAGGGGCCAGACATTTTCAAAGGTGTTGAAGAGAGAAGAGGTCGGACAAATCAAGATCTTAGAAGTGCAAGAAGGAAGCTTCTACTGGTGGAGATTCAAGTGTGCTTTGGAACTTAATGCCAGCCCCTATAAAAAATCTGCACTCGACGGAGCTTCAGAAATCGAAGAGGCGCCTGCTCAGAAATCGAAGAGGCGTTTGCTTTCTCAAAAGTTGGGCTGCTTAAAGATCACGAGGGTTGATCTCAGAAATCGAAGAGGCGTTTGCTTTCTCAAAAGTTGGGCTGCTCAAAGACCACGAAGGCCGATCTCAGAAATCGAAGAGGCGCTCGCTTTCTCAAAAGCTGGGCTCCCCAGAGACCACGAGGGCCGATCTCAGAAATCGAAGAGGCACCTACTTTTCTAGCCTTGTCAGCACCTGTCGCACGCACACTCAGCTTTGCGGAAATTATGGGCATTCTGTCGAAGACTTCTGGGGAAGTAGAAAACACATGAATCTTACTGTTCAATCACCCCACTTCCCACACGCAACAATAGCTCACGGGTACCACAGATAACTTTGCCAAAGTTCTCTGCCAAAGTTGAGCACGTGAAGCTTGCAGCTCCCACTACATCGCTCTGACCAAGAAGGGTAAAAGAATAGCAAAGAAACAGCACTAACAAAGTTTAGACCCATAAATTTTGAAGGTCTAGCTACCATATTATTACCCACAAGGGTAAAGGAACAGTACCACTGCTGGATAATTGGAAAGTCCCTGTGTGTCAACCTCTGTGCTTCGTGGCAAGGTAGACTAGCAAACATGCCCAACCTTTACTCACATTCGAGAAAACACTCCCAATAAGATTGCTTGCTCCAAAATCGAAGAGGCACCGTCCTCCAAATCTCGAGAGCCAGACTCCCAACATGACTACTTTCTTAAAAATCGAAGAGAGGGTAAAGGAACAGTACCATTGCTGGATAATTGGAAAGTCCCTGTGTGTCAACCTCTGTGCTTCGTGGCAAGGTAGACTAGCAAACATGCCCAACCTTTACTCACATTCGAGAAAAACACTCCCAACAAGATTGCTTGCTCCAAAATCGAAGAGGCACCGCCCTCCGAATCTCGAGAGCCAGACTCCCAACATGATTACTTTCTCAAAAATCGAAGAGACACTGCTTCCCGAATCTTCGAGAGCCAGACCCCCAGCATGATTGCTTTCTCAAAAAATCGATGAGGCATCGTTCTCCGAATCAATCGAAGAGGCGCTCGCTTTCTCAAAAGCTGGGCTGCTCAGAGACCACGAGGGCCGATCTCAGAAATCGAAGAGGCACCTACTTTTCTAGCCTTGTCAGCACCTGTCACACGCAACAATAGCTCATGGGTACCACAGATAACTTTGCCAAAGTTCTCTGCCAAAGTTGAGCACGTGAAGCTTGCAGCTCCCACTACATCGCTCTGACCAAGAAAGGTAAAAGAATAGCAAAGAAACAGCACTAACAAAGTTTAGACACATAAATTTTGAAGGTCTAGCTACCATATTATTACCCATAAGGGTAAAGGAACAGTACCACTGCTGGATAATTGGAAAGTCCCTGTGTGTCAACCTCTGTGCTTCGTGGCAAGGTAGACTAGCAAACATGCCCAACCTTTACTCACATTCAAGAAAACACTCCCAATAAGATTGCTTGCTCCAAAATCGAAGAGGCACCGTCCTCCGAATCTCGAGAGCCAGACTCCCAACATGACTACTTTCTCAAAAAGCGAAGAGAGGGTAAAGGAACAGTACCATTGCTGGATAATTGGAAAGTCCCTGTGTGTCAACCTTTGTGCTTCGTGGCAAGGTAGACTAGCAAACATGCCCAACCTTTACTCACATTCGAGACAACACTCCCAACAGGATTGCTTGCTCCAAAATCGAAGAGGCACCGCCCTCCGAATCTCAAGAGCCAGACTCCCAACATGATTACTTCCTCAAAAATCGAAGAGACACTGCTCTCCGAATCTCGAGAGCCAGACCCCAGCATGATTGCTTTCTCAAAAATCGAAGAGGCATCGTTTTCCGAATCTCGAGAGCCAGATACCACAGACCACTTTTTCAAAGTGCTCTGACAGAGTTAAAACATGTGAAACTGGCAGCTCCCACTACCGTGCTATGACCAAGCAGGGTAAAGGAATAGCATTACTACTTGTTGTTAGGGAGACTCCTATATATGTCGACTTCCATCCCCAACGGACAGGCAGACCTGCAAAAATGCTCAACCCTTCATCATATCTGAGAGGGCACTCCCAACGAAGCCTTTCGAAATATTCAGCTTTCTTTCCCCCCGATAATACCTCTGCAAACAAGCTATACTAGAGCAAGAATATCTCATATCATCAGGGTTAAAAGCAAGAGTATCCCATATCATGCTTTTTCCCTGTCTTTTCCTTTGGCCTTGTTTTTACCTGCAAGACAAGGAGAAAGAGAGCAATCAGTCAGCACTTGGAATCAAGCTTCCAGCCAGGAACTGACTGCCGGGAACCCCTTACCTGATTACTTACCTGGCATTGCTCTCGAGTACTCATCTTCAACATGTTATGTTTCCAAGGAAGATTCCGCATCTGCTTGAGGAACAGATAGGGCAAGTGCGAAGGATACAAGGAAGCATGTGGAGACAAGCGTAACAGCACACGTGCCGATACATCCATTACTCTGTCAAAAGCAAAAGTATCCCATATCAGCAGGGTGGAACGTACTCTAGATTTGATGGACTTGTTTTTGACCCTCAAATTCTTCAGTCGGCCTTATACTCTGGAGGAAACCAGAAAACCCTCCAGCTCAGTTCAAGAATAAGCCTGTGGAAAGTTACTTCTTCAAAAGCAAAAGTATCTCATATCATCTCTTCTCATTTTTCTTCTCTTTATCCTTCATGCTGCTGCAAGATGGGGAGAAGGTGAACAATCAGTCGGAGCTCTGATTGCTTACCTTGTCTGTCACCTCTTTCAGCAGACCCCCTAGCTCGGCGACTTGGGGGACTCCTACTACATGGTTTGTATCGCGCTTGACCAAGCCTGAAACTACAAGTAAGCTTCAAGTGAAATTGATACATTACCTTGTGCATCTCCACCAGTTAAAGATACCACCCCTGGATGGAGGAAGAGTACTTCCAGAGAAGATGCCACATCTACCTATGAGACAGATAAGGCAAGTCAAGACGACACCACACTCCGATACTTAGAAGTTTCGTGATTACGAGATCATTCTCCCACAATATTTCCGAATGTCATTTGTACTAAATCATTCACTTGTACTCACTAAAGGAGAGCTTGAACCTATGTACTTGTGTAAACCCTTCACAATTAATGAGAACTCTTCTATTCCGTGGACGTAGCCAATCTGGGTGAACCACGTACATCTTGTGTTTGCTTTCCTATCTCTATCCATTTATATACTTATCCACACTAATGACCGGAGCAATCTAGCGAAGATCACAAAAAGCGACCGTTTTCGCTACCTAGGATCTATCTTGCAAGAGAACGGAGAATTAGATGGAGATCTCAACCATAGAATACGAGCTGGATGGATGAAGTGTAAGAGTGCATCCGGCGTGTTGTGTGACCGTCGTAGGCCACTGAAGCTCAAGAGAAAATTTTATAGGACGGCAATAAGGCCAGCAATGTTTTATGGCACAGAATGTTGGGCGGTGAAGCATCAACACGTACACAAAATGGGTGTAGCGGAGATGAGGATGTTTCGTGGGATGTGTGGGCACACGAGAAAGGATAAGATTGGGAATGAGGATATCCGAGGTAAAGTAGGAGTAGCCGAAATTGTAGGAAAGATGAGAGAAAATCGGCTCCGGTGATTTGGACATGTGCAAAGAAGGCCGACTGACGCTCCGGTTCGAAGATGTGACTACGGGACAGAGGTTCAGGGCCGAAGGGGTAGAGGAAGACCTAGGAAAACTTTGGAAGAGACTCTAAGAAAAGACTTAGAGTACTTGGATCTAACGAAGGACATGACACAAAACCGAGCGCAATGGCGTTCTAGGATTCATATAGCCGACCCCACTTAGTGGGAAAAGGCTTTGTTGTTGTTGTTGTTGTATTAGATTTATTGTTGTTCGTTTGATGAAGTTCTCGATTCAAGAGCATATATATTTTCAGTTTCTACTATTTGGTGTTTGTTGAGTTTTAAGTCTGAGTTGTTATGATGTTTGTGTGTTTCTAAATATCT